CAAAATGGGGGAAAGAAAAACCTTATGGGTTATCACAGAGATAAAATAAAACACCATATAAATAAAAGTAGGGCATAACTAACTACCTTTTATATTATCCTTTGTCTTCTGAGACTGCAGCATGGCTTAAATAGGAAAAAAATGCCAGATTTCCTCTTGATTTTCTTACAAAGCTAAGTCAAAGGCAAGGCCAAGAATTAGACAGGTTTTTTGGTTTTGTTTTTTTTTTTTTCAGAGAAAAGCAGTGTTCTTGATTTAAACTAAAACCAATTAAATGGATTGCTTAGGAAACTATGCTCTGTTTAGAAGTTTCCTGGTGATATAAAATTAATCATAAACCTTTATTTTATTCTAGTCTCTCTTTAAATTCTTAACATTTATTAGTCTACTTACCTAACTTTGTAATTTAGTAAGGTATACTGAACATAATTGAATCTTTGTTTATAGATTCAAGACCACTTGGCAGGGATGCTGTAGAGGACTCAAAAGCAGATGAGTGGTTGAGTTAAACATTAAGATTGTCTTTAAATCTGACAATCTGGGACCCAAACAACTGGTTGTACCTGCACTTATAAAAATGAACACAAGTCATCACTGGATTATATAGAAGTGTGTACTACTGTACAGCCAAGAGCAGTATAGCAGGGTGATTAAGACTGTAGGCTTTGAAGCCAAATTGTCATGATTTATATACCCTGCTGGCTCTGTTGCTTGCTCTCTGTGACCTTGAACAAATTACTTCTCAGCCTCAGTTTTTTCAAGTGTAAAATGGGAATAAAAGTACCTATCTCATAGTATTGCTATGAGGATGAAGAGTTAATACATCTAACATACTTGGCATATACTTGGTGTTCAAAAATACAAGTTATTCTGCCCCGTGTTAGTTTAATATATATTAAAATACTAGAGGCTGCCTATGCAACACTTGTAAAGATGAAGAAATTGAAGTTCTCAGAGGATTAGTACCTGACCTTAGGATTTGATCTGCCTCCCAATCCTTTGTTGTGTCCATCACAGCATCCTGCTTCCCTGGTATGCCAAAATCATTGAGAGTGTACAAAACGGAGTTGAATCGATGCTGAGCCAATATATATCCTATTAGGTACCCTTTGGAATAATCCTTGGTACCTACTTGCTCTCTTGTCAATATTCTCATTCTTGAAGTAGGACAGAAATAATTCCATTAAGGGTTCACTTAATCATGGTTTACTTGCACCATGATTGTGTGGTGCTTGAAGTTCAAATAGCTAAAATTCACTAAAATGATAGACTTTCCTCAGTCTGTGTCTTGTTTTAAATCCTTTATTCTTTGTACAGGACTATAAAATTTTGCCCATTACGATTATCTCAGTTGTTTTTTTGAACTATTAAGTCCCTTGTCTCCCACTTATCTAAGCATCGTTTCAACCGCTATATAAAATGCTTTTTAGTGTGTATGTTTTGTCACTCCAAACTCTAACCTCTGAGCTCTTGCAATCCCTAAAGTATCTTATCCAGGACTAAACATGATAGCATTCAACAACTGCTTGACACTTTGGATTTGAATGATCCAAAGCAGATACTAAACAACATGGTTTTTCCGTTCTTTAAGAAAATTCCAGTAAAAGACATGAAATAAGAACTTTGAGAAAGAGAGCCTAAAAGACCAAAGAAAGACGTTAAAGGATTAGCCATGAAGAACTTTGGGTATTAAAAAAGGGCGGGGGAGAGGGGTGGAGAAGCCAGGGCAAAGCCTCAAGAAACAAGGAGTCTGGCAAAAGCAAATGAGAAAAAGAGAGGGAGAGGTATGGGGGAGCCCGATAATATTTAGCGTTTGAAATAAAAGTGAAGTCTAGAGTTAAGGTGGGTTTGGATCCGAAGGCTGACCAAGTTTCTCTGGCGAAAGAGCCTGGGTGGCAATCTGTGGGTGGCCTACACTCAAGAACACACAAAAATCGGGACACAGATACAAGTAGTGAGAAGTGTCATGCAGCAGGGAGTGGCAAGGGGTGATCTGAAATGCAGTCATTTGGGTACAATGTGCCCTTCAGAGAGGGCACGGTGACAGCATGGGCTAATTTACAGAGCCGCCAGGGCAATAACTCAGAAAGCAATACTGCCTTTTCACAACAAAACGAGGCAGCCCTAGAATGTTTCATGGTGGTAAAAAACTGCATTACAGCATACTGAGATCCCGGAACCAATGAAAGGAGACAAGTTTACCAAAACGAGTCTTGACACTGAGTACGTTTCTGGCAAATATGTTATTATGCACGCATTCTACTCAGGTCCTGGGGAAACTTTCGTTTCCTTATATGGCCCTTCTCTTCAGCTCTCTCCTGTATAATAACTAATGTCTTCTTAGAGAAACAAAGATAGAAAAGGAATAGAACTCTTCACTTGTCCCCCATCCCACCTCCCCTTTTATTTCAGGGAAGTGAGTAGAGGCTCATATCATTGAGAGTGTAAGAGACGAACTCCTAGCTTTTAAAATCACTTTTTAAAAACTGAAATTATTTCTGCTAGAGAAATCTATGTAGATGGGGGAAGACAAGGGGAATACTGCAATTGTCTACATTGGCTGCCAGAATTAACCAGCCTTATTTTAACCATGACATTTTTCTTTAATCCCATTAGTACTTTAATACTACTAGAACTAAGATACAATGTGCATGCATGGATAAAAACACTATATGGCATACAAAGTCAAAGAAAATGCCAGCTGCCACTTTCTTTTTAATATTTGTATGTTTTTCCTTTGCACCCATCCACCCCACCCCCCTCCCTTGAGCTTGTTCTCTGTATCTATGGATTTCTTTTTGTTTGTTCACTTTTCACATTCCACATATAAGTGATATTTGTCTTTGTCTGACTTATTTTAGTATAATACTCTCGAGGTCCATCCATGTTGTCACAAATGGCAAGATTTCATTTTTTTTACTGCCGAGTAGTATTCTATTGTATATATATACTACAACTTCTTTATCTACTCATTTATTGATAGACACTTAGGATGCCCTCCGTATCTTGGCTGTTGTAAATGATGCTACAATGAACATAGGGGTGCATATATCTTTTCAAATTAATGTTTGTTTTCTTCGAATGAATACCCAGAAGTGGAATTGCTGGGTCATATGGCAGCTCTATTTTTAATTTTTTGAGGAATCATACCATTTTCCATAGTGACTGTACCAATTTATAATCCCACCAGTGCATGAGGGTTCCCTTTTCTCCACATCCTCACCAACAGTTATTTGTTGACTTTTTTAATAATAGCCATTCTGACAGGTATAAGGAGGTATCTCATTGTGTTTTTGATTTGCATTTCCCTGATTAGTAACGCTGAGCATCTTTTCATTTCTATTAGCCATCTGTATTTCCTCTTTGGAGAAATCTCTACTTAGGTCTTTTTCTCATTTGTTGTGGAGAAAAGGATCTTGTGTAGAAGCAACATCTGCGTAGACTGTGCACTGTGTCATGGCAGGCCAGTTGGAGCCAGGCGGGTGCTTACTGCACCTGGTTTGCTGGCTTGCCGAACTGGAGCAGCTCAGGGCAGGGAGGCCAGGTGCATGTGGTGACGTGCTGCTAATCCTGCTTGCTCCCTTTGTTTGGGCTGAAATGGGCTCTGGAAAGTGTGGCGGAGAACATGCTGTGGCTATCCTGCAGGTAGGCCAGAGCACCTGGGTAAAGCTCCCCTTGACCCTACTGAAGTAGAGGGGGACATAAAACAATGGCACTCGCTGGCTACTCCAATCCCGGAGTTCCCACAAAACCTGGAAAGCTCCCATGGTTTCCTAGCCTTTTCTATCTTTTCTTTCCTTTGTTGTGCAGATGTTCAATCAGCCTTCAGTTGTCTTTCAGGAGGAATTGCTCTGTATATAGGTGTATATTTCAGTGTGCTCATGAGAGGGGGTGTGGTCAGTGTCCTCCTACACTGCCACTATCTTGGACCTCAGTCCCAGCTGTCACTCTTAAATGAGAATTTCTAATGTTACTCTTCTGAAAATTCTTCAGTTGGCCCTCAGTCTTCAAATAAAATCCACTCATTAGCAGGACTCCAACTTCACTTCTCAATGTCTTCCTCCCTATTCCCAAATTCCATTTCATTTTCTCCCTCCACGCTGTGCTCCTCTGCCTGGAAAGTCCTTTCCATTCCAATAGGTAAAATCCTACTCATCCTTCAAAAACCTACTCGGTTTCCTCTCCTCCAGGACTTTGTCCACACCTACCCTCCAATGAGGACCCTGTGCTTATTTGTCACTGCACTCATCCTAAGACATAATTTCATTTTACTGATTTGTCTCTTCTATATCCTCAGAACAGTGCCACATTCTAGGATTTTATTATATCCTCTGGTGCTAGGGTCAGACGCCTGACACATAGCAGACACGCAATCAATGTTTCAGTGAATATAAATATACCCATCTATGAATTTTTCAGTAATAAAACATCTAACCTCTCCCAAACCTTTCATGAAATAGGACAACTAACTGTCTTCTCTCTTTGGACCACATTTATAGCCAGAATGATGACATGATTCTGAAAGACTATAACATCTAGGTCACATCCTTGATAACATTTCAGGAAGTTGGTAGCTGAATGCATCAGTTGTAGAGCACCTATGTGCTGCCACTGTGTACTGAATTCATGCTGTATATACATTACTTCAGTCCTGACAATTCATGGTAACTTTTTAGCTCTTTTTTGGTAAAGAACCTGAGGCTTAGGAATTTGCCCCAGGTCACACGGCTAGCAAGTGATGAAGCCAAACTAATACAATGTGCAAGATCAGGACTAGATTTTATTCTAAACGAACTAAAAAATGAGGTTGGCTGGAACTCAGATTTCCCACAGGGCTGAAAAAATGATGAAGGCAGCAAATAACTTGTCCACCTCAGACTATGGGTATGCAGTTTTAACAATATAAACGAAAAACCAGCCTTGTTCCTGTTCAGTTTAAATAACTGCACACAGTTGCCATCTTGTCAAATAACAGACTCATCATTCGGTTTGAAGCACTGTTTTAAAATAACTTCTCAAATTTATTTAACTCATGTGGATAACATGGTAGTTTTGTATTTTTTTAAAAAAAGCCACCACCTATTTAGTCTTGCAGACAGCTGAGTTTAGGCCGCATATTGGACATAGTGATCACAGGATTACTATCGTAGGACTTGCAATATCCTTTCAATGAACACCAGAGTTTTCCAATTCAAAATTAAGTTTATTAGAGGTCTCAGAATAATTTTTAAAAGACCGAATTTTCTTCTTCACTTCTATTTAGAAAAACGACTACAAGCAATGACAAAAATAATCATTTAAATGGGATTCCTCTCCAAAAAGTTTTTGTAAAGGTTTTAAGTGCAGGTTTTTCATCCTTTTCTCTATCCTTTTCCATTTAAAAAAAGGGGTTTGGAATATGTCAACCTTTACTCAGCTTGCTACACAAAGCCTTTGCCTTTTCAAGTTCTAGATGTAATGCCAAGACTCATCTTCCAAACCTCTGGTCTTAATCAAGTCCATGGGGAGCCTGGCTAGAGAGCCCTGGGTGACAGTTTCTAAAGAAACCACTGTTAATCCAAGGTCAGTCACAATCCTAACTTTAAACAGTAGATGGCTGACTGTATCGCTTAGGACATACACCAGGCTGAGGTGAAAAGAGCAAGTCAGACCTCCCTCGTCTGTTCGTAGTGAATCATACCAGCAGCCGCGCATACGTTCCTTCCCGCCCCCCTCCACCCCTGTGCTCACTGTGCAAGAGCACCACCACACCACCTCGATTGCTGAACTCACTGTCCAGCCATGATGGTAGTCGCTTAAAGGTTATCACTGGAACAGATGATTTTCCTTAAGTAACAAGTGAAATTGTTTCATTTAATAGCAGTTTACACCTACTAACTCAGTATCTCCATCTCTTCTTGGAGAGCCTATACTTTTAGGCAAATGGGAGGGTTAAAAATAGAGGAGCAACATCCGTATTGTAAATGTGTGCTTTATCGCTTCCTCACGAACTTCCTGGAAAATTGCTGTTTCTGAATGTTTCGTTTCCTTGAGAAATTTTACTTAACTGTTGTATACCACATGTACTAAGGGATTTCTCTTTTTAGCCTTCATTTCATTGTATGGGTTTCACTCTCTAGGTATTAAAAAGAAGAAAAGGGAGGTGACAAAACAGAGTATAAAAGCATGCCCTGTGTCAGCAACCTAAGCCCTCTAATATCATCAATGCTGACTAAGTAATTTCTGGGAGTTGAATACATTGTTACATTTCTATTTGTGCTCTGCCTGAGGCTTTTCCCTAACCACTAATTGCAAGTGAAGGTCGAGAGCTTTTGTGAAAGGGGGAGGTAGAACACAAGTAATGTGCTGGTATGCAGCCAGGTGTCAGTGTACTTTATAATGGAGGAAAAGAGGATTATAGGGAGATTTTTGTTTCAGCCTCTAGTCCAACCACTTTTTAAAAGACTTACAGAAAACGGCTTCAAACAGAACTGTGGTACTGGGGAAGGGATGACAGGGGGAGTGGTAAATACATCCAGTAAAATTCAGCGGTAAAAGAATACCCACACAAGTCCACAGAATACAAAGGAACAAGGAACGCCCTGAGCCATAAGTGGATCAGGGCCTAGGGTAGGCAGGGTGCAGAGGATTAGCCACTGAATGGCTTCAGTGATAATTCTGAAACCTGTTCCAATTTTTCTGGAGTACATTCTTCTCCTGGACAGGTCAAAGATTGTGCTTTAAAAATGTCATTAGAAGGTAACAGCTTTCTAAATATTCATTTGCCTCTTGCTTCCAGGTGATTTCCTTTTGGTTAAAAAGCAGTAGTATAAACCGTACAGGATGGGAGAACAGTCTTCTGATATGGGTGAGGTGAGGCACTGGATGAACTTACACAGTAAGCAAGAAGTCTGCATGTCTTGGTCTTTTCCCTGACCACTTAGCATCTCTGACCTAACAGAGATAACAGTTCACTTCTTCTGGAAGAAGCCAGTAATGGACACTTGTCTATTGGCTTTGCCCAGAGCAGCAGTCCCTTTCTTGGGGCCCTTTCGTTCTTCTTTGAATTCTTTTCTCATAGTCGTGGTGGCGGGTCTTTGTATGGAAGGTGTCTTCACCTTAAGTTCCTCTTCACTATCTGTGCAGGACTCACTCTCATAGACTTTTTCAGTCACTGGTTGGATAAGGAAAAAAATGGTACATGAGTTGGTTGAGTCATTTAGAACACAATTCTATCGAGAATGAGAGGTCTTGTTCACCCAGATCTCCTCAAACCCTCTAATCAAAGGAGGTGTGCTCATCTACAACAAAGCTTTTTCTCACTGGGAGATCAGATCCAGCTTTGGGTAGGAATTATGTGGTATCTTGAGCTGACACAGCCTCTAGTTGGGGCTCAGAATCAATATTCACTCTCATTCCCGCACTGCTATATCACATGCCCTTAAATTGGCCGTTATCATTTGTCCAAATCCTGCATCTGGGTCCTGGGCCTATGCTGGCTAACTTCCTGAGATATAATCGGAACTGTCTATCTCCAACACCTATGTGTTGACTGACTGCTTCGATCTCACCTCCCTGACCCACAGTGCCTGCCTATTTTCATTGCTCATTTTCCTAGTCTTAATCTCTGCTCTATTTGCCAGTCTCCATCCTGTCTAGCCAGGTTCACAGTCATGGACCCTCCTGACTAGCTCTATCTTGATTTCACCCATTCTCTGCACATCTTAAGTACAGAGAATTGGAGATTACATAATTGTTTGGTTCTTAGTTCTGAACGACTGCTAATTAACCCAAGATTTAGTAGTGGTCCACATCATGAAGATAACTGTCCCACGTAAACCCTATCAAATGACAAACATGATAGTTTCAAGGAAGGAAAGTGATAAAATGAGAAATATAGTTATCAATTCTTACTTCCTATTAGCCAAAGGCATATTTTACCTTTTCCCCTGCCAATAAAACTCACTGAACCTTCCCTAGTGAAAACTTTGAAAAAATTATACCAGTGAGCAGTCATTGTAAGGAAGCCCCGAAGGGCACAGACAATGGCTTCCAACAATGATGTCACAGAAATGACTGTCTCTTTCCAATATTACTGCGATGCACACACTGACCACAAGAAACAGTACAACGTCACCTTCCTATGACTTTAGAGAGCTGAAGCAGCTGTATAACCAACGTCTTCTAAATTCTTTTTCAGCCTTCCTAGAGGCATACATTTTGGAATCAAATATCTGTGTTCTAATACCTAGTCTGCCATTTATATAATCTCACACTTTAATGCATCGGAATCATCTGGAGGGCTTGTTAAAATATTGGTTAGTGGGCTCCATTTCTAGAGTTTCGAATTCAGTAGATCTAGGATGTACCTGAGAATCTGCTTTTCTAACACATCCTTGGGTGATACAGATGTGGCTGGTCTGGAGACCACACCTTGAGAAGCACTTTTTTTCCCTCCCTTGTAAAATGGAGATACATTGTCTCATAGAATGTACAAATGCACTTTGTAATCTTTGGCAAGCCCCCTTCAATGCTATTTTTTCCCCTCACAATGGGCCATGCTGGAGGTCAATTGGCTATTGCCATTGGAGCATTCTTTCACTTTATCCCTCCAGTGCCATTAAGGCTGTATAATTAACAGTCCCTTCCTTAAGAGTTCCTAGGATTTGTCATTACTTTCAAGAGCCTAGAATTTTGCTGACTCTTGCCAACTTAGAAGCTAAAAACACTGATAAATATGAAATATGTAGAGTGTTCTCAAAGGCCTACCCATTCAGCGTTGCTCCACAGACCAGAGGGCTTTAGAATTTCTCATGAGCTTGTCAGAAATGCAGAATCTCAGGTCCCACACCAGGCCTACTGACTCATAATTTGAAGTTTAGCAAGATCTTCAAGTGATGCATATACTTAGCAAAGTTTGAGAAATGTTGCTTTAAGATACGTAGGGAATTTTCATGGTATATTCATGAGGTCAGCAATTACGATCTCATAACACCATCTCCATCTGGTACACAACATCAAAAGCATTATGTAACTAGATTAAGTGGAACAAAGTTATGAGCTGTTATTTACTCAATATCTCAAAGTCTGAAGAGCCATCTGTAGAAACAGAATAGAAACTACTGTCTACTGTGTAAGACATATTCTATATTCAAATGGCAGCATGTCTATAATATTAAACTCTAGCATCAATTAGCTTATTATTTCATTACTAATTAATGAAACCACTGTTTTGTCTCATTGCCAATTACGTGCAATGCATTGCTTAGGGGAGTTAAAAACCAGTCAAGGCAGCACCAATGAAATTTCTTAAGCAGCATATTTGGTATACATTATGAGCTACAAGAAGCATTTCTATATTCAAAGCTGTAGCTACTTCAAACTACAGGACAAAGGAGATTTCAATTTAAAAATACAGGATCTTTATTTTAGCTGAACAACAGGCCACTTTTCTAAAAAGCCCAGTTCAAATGGGTAACATCAGAATTCTTTTCCATCAACTGTTTTGCTCCCGAAAATCCACCTGATCCAGAAGTCCAGCACAAACTTATCTCAGGGGCCCGTCAACAAACTCACAAAAAGGAAAAAGATCAGCTTTGTAGACCCACAGACCAATTCTGATCCAGCACAGGACAGGGCAAGACCCCTGTGTCGATACATCTGGAACAGTCTGAGCAGAGAGGGGAAAGCAGAACTCCTTTGTTGGAGCCAAGATTCATTAGGTTGAGCTTGGACTGAAAACCTTTTTTTTAAAAAAAAAGTGCTACGTGAGCACAGTTTTCATTGTTGCATCCAAGTCTCTTAACAGTCCTGTCTGGAGACAGGACTGCAAAAAAGTCCACATCCCACACCTGGCCAAAACTTGAGTACTGTGTTTTGAACAAAAAAATAAGTAATTAGCCACAAATTCCCAATCGACTCTCACAAAGATATATTTGGGGTAGAAGTGGGAAAAAACTAGCACTGATGCTTTTGTCCTCTTAAATTTAAAAGAAAAAAAAAATAAGAATTTCAACAGAAAATATATTACCACCAACAGTCAAACCAAGAGGCTTGAAAATACAGTTAGAAGACTGAAAAAACAGACTACTCGAAGTCAAGAATTCATAGGCTCACAGTAAATTTGGCACTGAAAAGACAATTTCCACATGTAAGGACTTTTATTCCCCAATCACATGCTACAATTAAAATGGCAGAGGCCCCTTCAGAGGAGGAGGAGGTAGGGAATAATGGGACAAGGCTCACAACTGATGTTTTTACTAGTTTTAACAATCACATTGCATAGGAAAAGCTGATTCTTCAGAGTCAATATTTTTAAGACAAAAATTTTAAAAAGAAAAATCAAGAAAGGGAAAAAATACTTCTTTAGGAGAGCCAAGCTGTAACAGGTGCCACAGGAAAGAAGAAATGACAATTATGGGCTATCCAACTAACAAGAGGTTTAAGAGGCGAAACCTACAACTCTTTCAAATATAGAAATGTGGTACCAGGGTCTGAGTAGCCCATCAAGCCTCAAGGCTAAAACCTAAAAGCCCCACAGAAGTCTGGTTCTGTTGTGGAAAGGGTAGAACAAGCTAAAACATGGTGAAGAATCAGCCAATGACTCAAAGCCTGAATTATTTTTTTTAAATGTTAAATACATACTTTCTAGTTTTATTAATATAATTAAAGTACACCATTGTATAAGTTTAAGGTGTACAGCATAATGGTTTCACTTACATATATTGCAAAATGATTACTGCTATAAGTTCAGTTAGCATCCATCATCTCATATAGGTAAAATAAAAAGAGACACAAAAGAAAAAAATCTTTTTCCTTGTGAAGAAAACTCCTGAGATTTACTCCCTTCACAACTTCCCTATATCATACAGTCATCACGCTGCACATAATTCTCTGGTACTTATCTTGTAACTGTAAGATTGTACCTTTTGACCTCCTTTCCCCTCCCCGCTACCCCCCGCCTCTGGTAACTACAAATCTGATCTCTTTGTTTACGAGTTTGTTCCACATGTAAATGAGATCGTATAGTATTTGTCTGTATGACTTATTTCACTTAGTACAGTACCTCCAAGGTCCATCCACGTTGTTGCAAGTGGCAGGATTTCCTGGTTTTCTAATGGCTGAATAATATTCTGTTGTGTGCGTGTACATGCACATTAAAGTTTGAGGTATGCTACTCTCTGTATTTATACATATCACAACTTCTTTATCCACTCATCTGTCAATGGACACTTAGGTTGTTTCATAGCCTAAATTATATTCCCCTCTAAGCCTCCATTAAAAGCACATGAGTTTACCTAACATGGCTTACAAACAGGAAACATTAAAGAAGTGATTTGGAAGAATCATACCTCTCTGAAGAATAAATGGGACAAAATACCAAAGACCCTTGACTCTTTCTTCAGAGTCTAATTACCTACAGGAGCTTCTTTTCCACTGTTCAAATGTATAAAATGACCATTCTAAAAAAAACACAAATGTTTCTCAACATCTATAACATTTTAAGTTGGTATCATAGTTTCCATCTTTAAAGTTTTTAGATATATTACCTCACCTGAATCTTCACAACAAACCCACATGTAGGCAAAACAGATACTTTACTTCCATTCCACAGCTCAAGAAACTCCCTTCCAGAGATGACATACTTTTATCCAAAATCTCCAAGCTTATTTTTAGAGTGTATGGCTCTAACAAGAGCCCAGGTGTTCTAACTTTAGTTGTAGCAGTCTCTAAACTCTGCTACCCCACATCATTTGGGGGTGAGTCACATACACATTAAAGTTAGAGGTGCGATGCTCTATAAAGGATTGTGCTGCTTCTCTATGGTAATAACTCTATCTCTGGATTTGGAGCCAAAAATTTTTCTTACCTATGCAGTCGTCCTCATCCACAAAGGTTTTAGATTTCAGCACACGCTTTCGTTTTCTTCTGTTTTCTCCACTTAAGCTCTAAAAGGTCAGAGGAAGAGCAGAGATTACAACATTAAAGATGGCCAATGAAACTATAGAGAAAAATAACAAAAGCTTTTTAATTTATAACCTCCAATATTCCATGATAAAATGTTGAACAAAGAATTCTACACATTTCCTTTTATGGGACCAGCCCTACCACACATGAGTTATGCTCATTGTAGGTGCAGACTTGACATTATATCATTTATAAGAAGAAAATTAACATGTTGAACAGAAATCTGTGTTCATTCAGTCAACAAATTCTGTTGAGTAGTCCAAGCACCATGAGTTAAAAAGACCAATAGGGCAAGGACCTTAGTGGAGGAGAGAGAAAAAGAAAACAGAACACTACAATCCACTGTGGTAAGGTCTTTAGTAAAGAGCAGAGGCAGATATTATGGGAGCACACAGTGAAGGCCCCTAAACCAGACCAGAAATTTCCACTCCCTCTGTCCTTGTGGTAGATACTTGTTATTTCAGCCTTGATGCTGCAACATTACAAGCATCTAATTTAGTCTCAGACTGGTATTACTAATACTAATTTCCTTTTATTCCCACTGGTCTTTAATCCTATTTCCTCTTCAGCTAATGAAGAAATTATTGCAAAATTTAAGTGAGTCTTAATACAATGAACTAAGGAAAACAGCCATAAGAAAAAAAACTTGTCAGCATCCATCTTCTCAACTCTTCTGCACTAACAGATGCAGCTGAAGATCACTCAAAACTACACTTCCCCATTTGATGCCAGCTCTTCTCATCCAGCACTCTTCCAGAAGAGCTTCTGAAGATCAACCAACGTGCATAAGCTGTTTGTTCTGTATCTTTCACACACTTTGCTCTGATTCAGGTAAGACCTCATTTTGCACAATTCCCACGTGAGTTGGAAGGCATAGCAGCCCTGAAGCTGGAAGTCATGAAAACGAAACAGCTCCCAGGATCCACCTCTCCAACCTTCCTGAGACTCTGCCCTACATCTGAAATCTCTCTTAATATGAGAAGAGGGGAAATGTCCATTCTGTATAACCTACAGGTGAGCAGAACAAGACAAAAGCCATCTACTGGCATCTGTGAAGTATACATCAGAGAACTGATTTAACATAGTAGTTTTAGGTCCTTGGGTGAAAAAGGACACATGGAAAAGCAACCATCCCAGTTAAGTTGTACCTTGATAGAAGGAGGCTCTGGCTCAGTCTTTGGCACTGGTTCAGGAGGTGGAGATATGAGAGGAGGTGGGGATGGCGACTCAGCTTCATAAGCCCCAGGAGAATCTGGTATGACTGAAATAATGAACCAAACTTAGATAACAGAATTAATGCACTATCTGCTACATTGCCTTCTCCACTGGCTAAGTTTCCACATCCAACAAACGACATTTTGCAAGCACTAACTGAAGAAAACCAAGGACTCTGTAGTTATATATCTATATATATCTTTAAAATATATATTTTATTCAAAGACAGAGAATCAAGAATTATTAGAGCTGGAATATATTTTAGAGATTATCTTAGCTAAACTTTTTATTTTATAAATAAGTCAGGGTATGAAGTTGTTTTATAAATATCCACTGATCATCTACTAAGTCATGTATATCACTTATGTTATTTCACTTTATCCTCACAACAACCCTAAGAGACAAATATTATTATTCATACATTAGAGCTGTGTAACAGGTTCAGAGAAGTTAACTCTTCAGCCTTACTACAAGTATCCCATGCTGCCTTATTATTCAGGACCAGACATTTTCTCTTAAGATCAAGTAAGTGGAGATAATCTTCAGATTATGCCAGAGTCTCTGTGACTGTGGTCTGAGGATTACTGAGATGTTAGACTGAAACTTTCCATCTGATGCTAGGACTATAAACCTTGGGGAGTGGGGGAATCATCTTTGAAATGACCATAATTATAGCTCTAACAATTAAGACTTGCTACTTCTAGTGATTGCTCCACTAATGAGGCTTGTTTTGCTACACAGACTATCAGAAAAGAACACTTTTAGGAAAGAAACACTGCTACCAAAGTGGTACCACCCGAAAAGAAGTACAAGAGGGATCCCATCGTTTCTGAATAGTTCTAGAAATAATGGTCTCAGTATGAGGCCCATGAGAATCCTCAGCTGACTTATTGCTTAATCACCACAAACACTTTGCTAGTCAAGGGACTGGGTAGCTGCTTAGCCTCACCTGCTCCCTGAATCTCCCGACTGTATTCAAATTCTTAGTACAAGTCTTGGATCTGAAATTCTCCCAACTGATTAGGTCAGTGTTAAAAATCATGACAGTGGAGCGTTCAAGGCCAAATGACCTAAAGAGGTGATGCAGAACAAGAACCAGAATGAAACAAATTACACACTTCAAGTATGAAATGGGCCCCCAAATTTTCTAAGCTCTGGGACAAAAGAGACAAACATAAAAAGAAAGTGGTCCAGCTATTAGCCCAGCTCTGGGACACTAGAAGATGATGGGTGCTCAAGCAAGCAAAAGAAAAGTCAAACCACTGAACTAGGCACCCATTTTTCTAAAGGTATGCTATTAAGAAAGCTGTGTCACAGTGGTAGCAAAGTTTATGCAGTGAGGAAGCTAAAGAAAAGGAATTTTGAGTACTCACAGTAATAAATTTAGGAATTCTTATTCTACTTCCAGTTCTGTAACCACTTGACTTAACCAAAGAAAATACTTAAGGTATCAAGACTCCTCTCACCGCCCTGTATGGAACTGTTTATCTAGATTCCCCTACTCCAGACTCCAAGCTCTATAGAAGCAGGGGTACCACGATTTCTCTGGCATTGAACGCACAGTAAACATTCTCTTTTAAATAAAGGAAAACAATCATTTTCTGAACTAAATTTGAGATGAGGGGCTTCTTGGTCAAGAAAGACTAAGCATATAACTTCCTCTCTTCCAAACATTCCCAAAGGGAAACATTATAATGATAATAAAGGAGTGAAATACTGTAATGCCCTCATACCAACAAAGAGAACAGAAGAGGAGCCAAGAGCACTTAATAGTAAGAAATTTCAACAAATCCCTGGAAGATGTAAGGCAGATGGGAGAAAGTTGACAAAAGGAGCTTTAGTCAATTAGATGAGTCAGACAGAAGAGGTTACTATCTATTATAAAACTTCTATTTTGTCAGATTTTTTGAAATTGTACATAGGTATTTAAATTTTCTTAAAACAAAGTATTTTAAGAAAATTAGAATAGGGAAAACGGGAATTTTCTGGTCTTTGCAAAAATTAATCGTTCATTCTCATAAGAACCCCACAAAGTCATTATTTACTATTATTTGTTTTATAGAACTAAGGTTCAAAGAGATTAAAAAAACAAACTTGCTACATTCATATGCTAGAATCCATGTCTGTCTGCCTTAGTGTTTATTATTAAACCATGCATTCTCCCTCATATTGACATAAGCATAAGGAATGTTTGATGCATTGGGTACAGCTTAAATATACTTGTGATGAATTTGCAGCATTTCAGATGAAAGGTATCAAGTAGTGAAACATCACTCATCCCAGAAAAGCACCCTTTGTTGAGGCAGAATAAGACTGTGGTAAAACTAATTTCAGGGATTCAGCAATGTAACCACTGTTTATCAGAGAGTTTTCTGGCAGATACTGGTAATTAGAATTCTTGGAAATCATTCATAGGTTCCAAGGAGATTTTTTTAAACTACCTATCTTAACCTAAAAAAGGGGGTCATTTGTTTAACATGCTCCATAAGCAATTTGCAAAGACTGAAATGTTAGCAAAGACTTTAACATACTGATTAAAACGATTTCTTCCTAGCAGTGTAGATGATAATCCTAATGTTATTTCTTTTTGGGTCTGGCCTTCTCTTGCTTTACAAAGAGAGTATATAGAATTGCTAAAGGTACTTATGACACTGCCAGGGAAAAGGACAAAGGAACAGTCCCTTAAATAGAGAGTTAAGGATATGAAGTTGAAGGGAATTTTCTGAGAGAAAGTAGCTGCGAGTGTACTCACTACTGCTAAACACCTTAACTGAACACCTCAATAGGAAAAGTGGGGTGAACAATAAGAAAACCTACTCTGTGTCAAATACTGTCCTGGCACTTTTGACACATAATTTTATTTGATGTTCATAAAAAGCCTACACAGTTTCTAATAACATCCCCATTTTAGAGATGAGGAAACAGGAATTGAAGTAACCTGTCTAAAGTGTCACAGAGTAAGTGGTGGAGGTCAGATTTAAACTCAGTCTGACTCCAAAGTCCCTGCCCTTATTCTGTTTGCTTATCTTACAACATTGTCCACAACCTAACACTAGAAGAGCCCATACCATTCTCTTTCAACAAAGACACTACCGATTTTTCAACTTAGCAGTGCTACTTATACTGTGTGGAACACCACCAACACCCTTGATGCCTACAATATAACCTGTTTCAAAAGAGTCACGTGAATGGAACATCTCCAGTTTATTTTTTTAAAATGGTCTTTGATGATGATATGTGCATATTAATAATCCTTATTCTCTCCTTTTGTTTGTTATTTTGGAAAATTACAAGAAAATAATAGTTCTGGTCAGAAGGCTGAAGTATATTTTAAACAGGAATAGGTGCTATGTGTGTCTCAATGCTAGGATTACTACTGTCATTGTGACCCATAATAAATTACCTTCTTTGAGATCATAAGAATTGACCCCTGCTATAGACTGAATGTTTTTCCCCAAAATTCATATGTTGAAGCCCTAATTCCTAATGTGATAGTACTTGGAGGTAGGGATTTGGGGAGGTAACTGAGTCATGAGAGTAAAGCTCTCATGAATGCGATTAGTGCCCTTATTAGAGACACGAGAAAGGTAATTCCTCTCCCTACCATGTGAAGATACAGCAAAAAGATGCCCTTCTGCAAACCAGGAAGAGAACTCTCACCGGAACTGAATCAGCTGGCACCTTGACTTTGGATTTCTCACCCTTCAAAAGTGTGAGAAATAAATTTCTGTTGTTTAAGTGACCCTGTCATCTTTGGTATTTTTGTTATAGCAAACTGAACAGACTGAGACAATCCCACTAACCAAAAATTAATGGAAATGCCCACCTTCATCCTCACTGCTATCAGACTCAGGAAGTTTGATTCTTCTCCTCTTTTTCTTCATGTTTTCAGCTTCTTTTGTCTCATCATCAGATAACTCCACTCGCTTTCCCCTGATGCCATCCAGGAAAAATTTAAGCACGTTATACAAAATAAAAGTATAAGTCACATGCTACTTGTGAAGCAAGTTATGGATCTTGCTTCATAACTCATGGTCTTAATTCCAGAGGATAGAAAAGTGAAAGTAGACTAATAAGGTTTCTTTTTAAGGCTAATTGACCACAACTAGGTCACTTCATGGTGTGACCAGAATAAAAATTTTCTCTAGCTATCTATAGACCACTGGAAGCTCGCTCCTATCAGGTTATCGAGAATCTTTCTAAATTCTTACTTTCTCTATTGGCTTTTCAATAATTCAACAAGCATTAAATAAGCAGCTACTATCTACATATATGAGGCTCTTTGTTAAACACTGAGGATGCAAAATCGAGAAAATATTGTTCTCAAGAAACTGTGGCTGAAAAAACAAATATAAACACCACTAACTAATACAATGTGATAAATTTTACTGGACAAATGTTATGGTACATGACTCTTGCTTGAAAACTTTAAAAGCAGAAGTTCATCAAACAGAAAAAGGTGACATTTTTAAAGAGAACAATATAAGCAAAGGCACAGACATAAGACCTTAAGGTGATTCTAATGATGTAATAAAAAACTTACACTCCATCTTGAAATTATTTAGCTCCTCTAGATATTCCATCACACTATTCATTCAATCTAGAAATAATTTATCAAGGGCCCACTGTGTGTTAGAGACATAGTTTTTATCTTCAAGTACTTTATTTCCTATGTAACTTTAAATATCAATTTATTTTTCTACCTTAAGCTAGGAAAAAAACAAACTCAAAATAAGTAAAAGGAAATAATAAAGAGCAAAATCGGTGAAATAAAAATAGAGAAAATTAACGAAGCTTTTAAAAGCCATTATTTTGGGGAAAAAAGTAATAAAATTAGTAAGTCTTTTTTATAAGACTGATTTTAAAAAGATAAAAATATGTATTACCAATGTTAGGAATGAAAGAATGAAGAAATCTATAGTGATAACTAGATACTCAAAGACTAAGGCTCTATATTCTAAACAACTTTAAGCCAATAAACTCAACAACTTAGATAAAACAGATAATTTCTTTAAAAACACACCCAAATTAACTCTAAAACAAGAAAATTGGAATTGCTCTATTTAAAGAGATAGAATTCATTTAAAAAAAAAAAAAAACCTTCCCAGAAAAAGAACTCCAGACCTAAATTCATTTCTTTATCAAACTTTTAAGAAATATATCATACAAAAACTATTTCAGAAAACAGAGAAGCAAACTCCTCCCAACTAATTTTAAGAAATTAACTAATTCTGAAACCTGATTTGTATGTTACCGGAAAATAATTGACCTATAGCCCTCATAAAAGTAGAGGCAAAAAATCCTTATAATATTAACAAATAGAATCCAACAATATATTAAAAGGATAAGACATCATAACCAAGTGCAGAGGTTTATTCCAAGAATGCAAGGTTGGTTTAACATTTGAAAACCAATCAGTGTAATACACATTAACAGAAACACTATATGATCATCTCAAAAAATGCAGAAAAAGCATCTGTCAAGATTCAATACCCATTCATGATAAAATCTCAGCAAACTAGGAATAGAACTTCTTCCATCTGGTAAAGGGCATCTACTAAAAATATACAGTTAACATTATATTTCATGGTAAAATACCAAATGCATTCCTGGCAAAAATCATCAACAAAGAGTTTTGTACCCATGACTGGGGATGTTTTAATCCATCCATATCATGATATACATGTTCCTAGGAGGTGAGGCCCACTAGACAGAGCCTTGACCCTCTGAAACATCAGCAATCTGTTGATGTTTTCTATTAGAGTAGCCCCAACCTTGCCACAAAAGTCAAGTGTTTCTGGGCCTATCAGTGCTGACAGTGTCCTTTAGAATTTCTTTCAACAGACTAATTCCTACCAACTATGAGGTAGTGTCTCAAATTCCTGGATCCATTTTTAACAGCTTGTATGCTCTTTATTTTCTTTTCTAATTACATTTTACCACTTGAAAAATAAACTCATTGATATAAAAAGAAAACAAAGAACTTTTTCTCTTAAATTTGACTGGAAAGAGTAACCCCCTCATTTGCAATTTAAAGTGAAAAACAGACAGACAATCAGGCACACTTTTGCCATGTCCACAGATTTAAAACGAAGTAAAAAGACAACTGATTAAAATCAATGGGGCCCCAAAACTGACTCTGGGCTCTATATTATCTAAACTGGCCATTCCGGTTCTACTTCACTAGATAAGATATTGAGCTTCTCCCCTCACTTTGGTTATACAGCTGTATCCTTAAGGCATTAAGTAGATTTAGTGCTCAACTGAAAACTGCCTGCTGTCAATAAGCCCAAACAGACCTTCTCACCCCGAGGGGAAACACTCTTCCCCCACAAGTGACAAAATTTTCCTACCTTTTTTTCTCCTGCTGCTGCATCTTAACAGGCTCTGCTTTTTTGCTGGATTTCTTCAGGCCTGCAGGGGCTGCCAGCTTTGGTTCAGTGACAGACACTGGAGGTTGTTCCACTATTTTTTCTTCTGTCACTGCTTGTTCTGAATCCAAATTAACTTTAAGTTTATCTACAAATAAAGTATAGCAGATTATATATAATCCCATCATGCAATATTAATCTATTATTCCTTTGACAGTCTACTGAGTGCCAGGTAATGTTAGGGGCAGAGACTAAAGGAATAAAAAAACAGTCCCTGTCCTAACAGAGCTCATGGTCTAGTCAGAGAACATTTCTCCTTTCCAACTACCACTCTAGGTATAACTGTTTTCATTTCTGCCTCCTGCTAATCCCTCATTATATCACAGTCCCCGGGGCAAATGATAGTAAAATAGAGCTTAGAAAAAACAAATACAACTTTATGAGTATCATCAGTCTCATTTGTTAGAGGAGGAAACTAAGAGCCATAGGGATTAAAAGATTTCCCAAGAGCACACGGCTTACAAATAATGACAACAGAAATTTCTACTAAGATCTTATTTTCTTTCTACTATAGTCTATCTGTTGAAGTCTGGATACTTTTATATATTAATTGAAAGACTACTTTGGAATCAGAAAAGTTTGGTTCAAAATCCTGCTTTACTCAAGGCAAGCGATTTTATCTAAAAGTCAGTCTTCTCTGTAAAAACTGGAACAATAGTTAAAAGATTATTATAAGGAGTAAAAGAAATCAGTACGTGAGGGTAAGTGATTTACCCAAGGTAACACTGATAGAAAAAAGAGCCAAGATTTGAACCTAAGTAAGTTTAACTCTTAAGTCCTTAA